CGAGTTTTCAAGGCTTTCCAAGGGGGGGGATGGTGAGGTTTGTTACGTATGCTGTAGAGTTGTTACACTTGTAGAGAATGAATAATGTGCTATAGTTATAAATAGTATAGATATCTAAATAGTAGTAGTACTACTGTCCCCGTGGTTTTATGCACCCCACATAATTTAGCAAAATTTGATCATTTTTCGCATATTTCTTATTATTTTCCTTAATCATTCTCTGTTAAGATTAACAGAATCGCATAATTTCACATTGTTGGGCTCAATATGCATAATTTAAGAATTGTTCTTGCCTAAAACGACGGGGACAGGAAGTAGTAGTTGTCAGCAGCAGCAAGCAGCACCAGAAGCAACAGTAGCAGTGGTAGTATCATTGCCCGTGCATCTCAAATTATAATCCAATCATAATCCATGAGATTAAGATACCAGACAAAAGAAGATAAAGATGAGGATGGAAAAAATATCACTGGAAAAGAAAGTAACAATAATTGACGAACTGGTTGTGAGTGATTTAAGATATGTAATAAAACGGCACTTTAACCGCGCCGCCCCCCACCACGGCTCGGCGTAGCGAATGAGTTAAATATTACCAGAGAGGATCGAATAAGTAGATTGAGAACCATTGAAACTCTTAGTGGTAAGCTGGGTTCAAAAAGTGCCTTTTGATTCTTAAACCAGGGTCGTCTTCGCGGCAGTGCCTAGTATAATGTCAAATGAATTAACGATATGCCCACTCTAAACCTCAGATTGCAGGAAATAGAACAAGATTGAAAAGGGTTACATGAGTAGTGGACTATACATAGATAGCTCATGATAAATGATATTTCTGAAACAAAGCCTTTTTGTATCCCCTGAGCTTATCATTCTGAGAGATGGGGGAAATGAAATTACACACACATATTGAGAAGATGATTTGTACGGTTCAATACGGATTTCCTCTGTCCACATGCCATTTTACTGAAAGTAATCTGTTATACGCATGTGTTTATATGCAAGATCTATTTGTATTTTTATGTCTTGACATGTATTCCTCTTTATCTTCTGTTCATTCCAAAGGAAACACGAATCAGAGATTCAACATCTGAAGAAATCTGCTGCCGAAGACAAAAAACAGGCTCTAGAAAATCTGAAGAACATCAAAGACCAGGAGCGTGTTCGCGCAGTAAAAGAGGTGCAGGAATTTACCCAGAAGGTGGCGGACAAGCGACTGCGGGAGGTGCGAGAAGAACACAAGAACGAGCTAGACAAATACAACAGTATCATAGTGAGCTGGCAGGGAGAGGTTAAAAATCGCGAGGTCATCATCGGTCAACTAGAAAAGGCAAAACAGAAAGTAGGTGAAAAATTGTTGGAGGTTCGATATTATTTCCAGGATTTTATTAATCGTGTCAAAATGTTTGAGGAGGGGCAGACGGATTATCTTCTACCTCCTATGTATCTGGAGGAAATAGAAAGGAATGGGGTATTGTCAAAACCTTTGTGAAGAAGGCAGTGTTGATTGGTGTTGGTATGTGCCTGGTGATGTAAATATGTTTATTACTTTGTATATTTGGCATGCTCAGACGAAAGTGTATAACTACGCTTAGAAGTTATATAATTAAACTCTGACAAAGAACAATGTCCTGAAACATGTTTCAGACAAAAATGCCATTAAAAAAATGAAAAGAAAAGAAGTCAGCATCAGTGGCATAGAAGGGAAGGACTCAGGTAGCTTTTATTGTTTTAGTAGGGAACTAACTCATTCGGTTTTTACTTTTGAGTACATGTATTGGAAATTAAATCAAGCTTTTTAATACATATATTATGCATTTTCTTACCAAAGAGAGATAGAAAAGCTGATCTCCATGAAAGGCCAAAAATGTTTCATCCCCATTTTCAATCTCAGTTTGCTCAATTTTGCATCTCTCCAGGAGCCATTCAAAACAAGTGTTAGTGTAAGTGATCCTACATCACAATCACAGTAGGGAGTGACAGTGGTAGGTTCAACATCCTGCCTTCATAAGTATGAACAAACTGTTATGTCGAGTTTTCAAGGCTTTCCAATTGCTCAATTTTTAGTGCTGCCTAAAAGAATAGCCCTTACTATTACTATTAGTATGTTTTACAGGGTATTAAAATCACATTAAACAACATTTTTACAACAACCAAAGGCTGTGAAAAGTTTTTTTCTTATCTTCAACTTGAGTGAACATATGTCATGTTTTGAATATCATATTGTTGGGTTTTTTAATGTTCCTGTGATATCTGCATTTTATTGGAATGAAACTGCTAACATAACATCCGTCCTTTTTTTGTTGCCATTTGCACGGGCATATTGTGATAAATATTGCAGGACTCCCCTTAGTGAAAAAAGGGATGACTGCATTGCAAAGATATGACAATGAAGGAATCGAGACAATAACTATAGTTTTGTTCAAGACGTTCTTCTTCTTATTTTTAAGGAGCAGCATGGACCCCTACTTAGAAGAAAAATTAGCTCTCTATTTGGGTTTTGCATAAAGTGTGAACAGTAAAAATGTATTCTTATAAACTGCATGGTGAATTGAAACAAAACTTTATTTTGGTGTTATTTCTATCTTTCCTGTGGAGACCAAGTGTTCTCCGGTTGAAAAACTTTCATACAACCTCTACTGATTTGACATGTACACATGTTGTTTCTGTCCTGTCAATACTATATTCAGCAATAGGCAAGCGAATGAAGCCAGTTGCTTGCCATTGTCTATGAAGTGTCAACTCCTTCATGCCAAAACTTTTTCAAACAAGAGAAGATTCAATTACAGTTGTATACTTTATGCTTGTACATGTGCATTTTAACTAAGCTTATTTGTTAAATATAATGTTAAATGTTCAAGACAGGCAGCTAAAGCTATTACGAGACCATTTTTTGTTATGTATTTTGCTATTTGAGTAATGTACCATCTCAAGAATGTTGATCGATTTATTACACTATTACAGTTCTAGTTAAAAGCCTCAGTTGAGGAATAGTTGCTACAAAAAAAAAGCTCTTTCCCTTCAGGTAGAGTAAACCGGTTGATTTATGACAGTGTGAATATTTTCTGAACTTCTTTGCACCTTTCATAATTTCCCACATATACTGCAGCAACAGAAGATTCCTCAGCAAAGTGCTGAGGTAGTGTTCAGTTAATAAATGGGATAAAACAGTGAACTATATAAGTATAAGGAAGAAAAACATTTGTACATTCTTTTGAAACATTTCCCTCTTAATCATTAAGGAAAAACAATTAATTCAATTTTAAGATTTATATGATGTTCCCATTTCTTGGACTTCAAAAGAGCACCATAATGAAGTTAACAACAGTCAGTAGCGCAGTAAAAAGTGCTTTGTTTACTATTGTTTATATGAATTAATTAATATTAAGAACGACAAAGAGGCTAATGATCTATCAAATGAAACACTTTTTACATTGACTCATTTGTTTTCATTTGATAAGCAAAGTAAGTAAGGTGTACAGACATTTTTGGTGTCTTTACCACCTTTGAATTGGTAGTGCGTTAATTCATTCACCTCCTCACCTTTCTTCATTTATGCACAGAAAGGACTTTTTCAATTGACTCAGTAATGTTTAAACATTATAGAAAGTGTTTAGATGGTGTGTGTGAATCTGGTCCTATTTCTTTGAATGTATTATAACTTGTTCATGTTTTCCAAGAAAGATAATTAAACTTTTTTTTAAATGCACTTGTCATTTAAACTTCACATCCTGTTTTTTTTAAAGTGACGATGACAAAATACATTGTAGGAGGTATTCTCTCTTTTGAACGAGATATAGGGTCTACAATAAGATGGGACATGGAGCTACTATGTATCTTTTTTTCTACAGCCTAGGTACAAGCTCTTTCCGGAGTGACTAGAGCCACTGGTCAGTTCTTGTTATGTGACACCACAACTAAGTTTATGGTACACAGCAACAAGGAGGAGGATAATGCAAGTTTCATTTTTTGCAAAGGCACCAGAAACTGACATAGCTGGCTGCTGCAGCATACCTAAGTTAATAACAGAGGCAAAACACAGAGGTTAACTCACCCAGCCCTAACGCCGATAAAATCGGAATGTGCCCAATGCTCCAGCCCTAACGCCGACAGTATCGGAATGGAAAATTTTGCTCTCGTGACCAAAAATGCTATTTTTATGTGAAGCAGACTATAGCCTATTGGGAAGAGTAACCATTTTTCATTTGAAACACACTATGAATAGAAGTGCAAGTCCAAATTTAGAACAAAGAAAGCTATATTCGTGAACCAGGTGAGGGGGTGCGAAATTTGAACGCACTTCCTTTCTTCGCTATATTTATGTTTACTTTTTGACTCTGTATATAGATCCAGACCTTTTTCCTCGGAGTATGGCATAAAAACTATGACATATTTTGCATTCCAATGTTCAAATAAAGGTTTGTTGAATAAAATGTATTACAAAATTGGGTAGGATATGTTAAAATTTAGTATTTTTTTCAATTTTTCACAAAGTAGTAAACTAGGGAGAGCTGACAACCTCAGTGTAGGCCTAGGGTTGAGTGAGTTAAAGTTTTATGTCCAAGAAGGCTGTGAATGTCTGGAAAATAGGGACCATGGACTCCACCAGTGAAATGACCTGAACTGTGTCCAGTAAGGTGTTATATAAAATTTATTCATTCCTATTTCATTATAACTGAGATCATGAAGGTGTCATAACCGTTGATGAATAAACAGACACACCATATACAACATTTTGAAATAGTACAGAAACATCTTTATTAATATAGTCAGTTCAGATGAATGTATATTTACAAAACCAATGCAAGTAACTGAAGAACTGTTCAAAAACACCATATCAAGAACGCACATACTCGATGTACTCTGGCTGGACTTTGGCAACTTTGCGGAATTCTTCGTTCAAGGTTTTTGGACACTGCATCTTGCACCAGCTGACAGGCACCATGTTAACACCTGTAGGCAAAAGACACATAAAACACTTGTTAAGTCTAATGGCTATTGATTTCACCAGCAGGTATTGGATAGAGTGGAAAGGAATTTTGAAAGACAGTGGTAAATAGTAAATCCTTAAATAAAAAAGAACTACTATCACTGGTTGACGGTTGCTTACTCTGAACAATTCGAAGCACAGAGCGATGCGGTGCTTCTGTTACAGTGACAACATGAATAATGCAAGCTAAAACAGCATCTGTGAAAGAACATCATATCATTGTAAATAATTAACTGGGTTATTATGAGACCCTGAGGAAAGGGAGGAAATGTCAGTCAGACTTTCAGTTGATACATTTCAACATAAAAAGAACACAAACATGCATACCCATTCATAGACACTGATTCTAATTAGTAGACACGACGGATGAGAGACAAACTACATTCTTCCCCTGTGGAATGAATTTACTACCTCGGGGGGGGGGGGGGGGTTAAGTTTGGCATAGCCAGACTGAAGATATTGTTGTTATTATTGCCTTCTGTACAAATACTTACTACCCGACATTTATCTAAATAGTAACAAGATTAAAATCACATCAAGGTCCTTCATTAGGCTTGAACCCCTGCCTTCTTCCCTCTAGAACAACATGGCTTTGAAAGAGTTCTGAATCATGTGGTATTATGACCAGCTTTTATGTGAAAAACAGGCTGCACATCTCAACAATAGATTCAGTTACTGCCTCACACTAACAAAATAAGAGAATGTAACAACAAAGGAAAGTAAATTTTTGTTATTGACAAATGAACAAACTATCTTACCAATTCTAAACAACCTCAGTACAACTTTAAGACTAAAGGATCAACTTATCTTTCTGTTTTTTGCATGAGTATAACAGGTGTATACCAGTTATGTGTGGTTTCCGTTGAAAGTGTATTCAATTGAAAAGGGAGGAATATCATGGAAGGACAATAAACTTTTTCACGTCCTGTCATACCTGTTGTTAAATAGTCGTATGTCCTTTCAAACACATCAGAACGCTGAGTTCCGGATATCAAACAAAAGCTTATGCTATATATGGTGAATTACAGTTCAACAATTGATGCTATAATTGCGGCTTGCAAGTAGTGTTAGGTCATTTTAAGGGAATGAAACAACACCCATACTCAATAAGCATAAAGTCACTATGGGTTTTGTTTTTTTATATCACACGCAGATGAGTTTTTTTAGAAATATATATAAGCCCATCAGCAATATTCACTATTCAATATTCACAGCACTATTCATCTATTACTACAGTGGAACTCGGATTCAACAAGGTCGCCGGGCTTGACCTAAAATCTCGTTGAATCCGAGTGTTCATTATAGCAAACATGAGATCTTGCGTAGATAATTACAGGCACTAAGCAAGTAATGTATAAAGAGAAGTCACAAGTAGTGCCTGAAATGCCTGCCTATTATGAGCTGTGTAAAAAAAAGACCGATTCGTTCAAATGCACACGCCTGAGTCATCTCGATTGTTTACCAAAAAGTTGTGTTAATGTGCAGAGCCTACCATACGCCAACTTTTGATTCCATAAACCAGCGTATAATTCATTACGTAGATCTACGTCAAGACTAGCTTATCATTGTAATAGTGATCAGTTGCAGTGGAAAAAAAAAGGCTGACGTGTTTGTATCTGTGACGTTCAACGCCCGGACTGCTAGTGCCCCTCCCCCCCTTCCACGACACGCACATACAGCCATACGGGTGCAGGCTGCCCATCCGACTCCGACACACACCAGAGTAGACACGTGCGTGTGCCAACAACGCATGTGTTTGTATGAAAAAAGGCCACTGATTGGTCGCATGCAATCGGCTAAGCGAATAATGGTCCACAAGGCAGGTGCAATTGATGGTTTCCGGGAATAGATAAAGTTCGTTCTGGGAGAAAAATAAGCGAAGCCACGTCTGCGGTGGCTGTTCACCTTGGAAGCAGCCTCGTTGAATCCGAGCTCCCTGATTTAAGTGCTCGTTGAATCCGGGTTATTTTTATTGATTTTAAAGAGAAAAAAAACCTGGGGAATCTAACATCCGAGTTCCACTGTAATTGCCCAAGCCAGTGATTCTTAGCTCCTTGTCAGTTTGCCTCTTCACCAGCTATGTGGCCGCTGTTTATTATATCTCCTTTTGTCTTATTTTGTTGGTCCCTGTCATCATCCCGCTGCACCTACCCATCCAACGTGCTAACAATCTCTCGAGCCTGTGCCTGATAGCCTACTGCTGTTTTTGGTTGTTGTTCTTTTCAAAATATGTTTGTAAGCCTTATTCCCACTCTACAATACAAGCCAAGATACAGTCATGTCACATCCCCATTCATATTCATAATACTTCGAACAGCAGAGGAAGGGGATCTTATCGCACTTGCAAAGTCATCCTATGCACTTTGATATTCAAGAGTCATGGGCCCTTGAGCTATTCATGGTGTAACTAATGAATATTGGATTGTAGTGAATATCTTACAGACATGTTTTATAACTCTTGTTGGTTCGATTCATCACTGTTTTGTAATCATCAAGTAAAAATGCATTTCTGTTTTTACCTTAATGATTTTAGATATGATAATGATATGTTACGACAAGGTGGAATCAGGCACTTGTCAATCCTTAGGTATTTTGAGACATTGGAATAATCGTACAGCCTGTTTATTTGTCTTTCTTGCAATGAAAGAAAAATAGCCATCTATCTTGAATAGAAGTCAAGACGCTTGCGACTGAAGGAGGTGGGGTTGCCTAGTTTCAGAGGTAAAATTAGTGAGAAAATAGCCGCCAAAGTCTGGTGACTTCCAAAGCTTGAGAGTCTTTGAAAACTGAAAGTTTACATATTGTGCGCCATTGAGAAATGTTTTACAATAAAATCCACACAGCAAAGTGTTTTTACATGGATATAAAAGGTGTTGAGCAAAAAAAAAACCAGAAATTCGATAAAATTTGCAAAACCGCTGAGAAAATGCCGATTTCTTCAACTTCATTATTTTGACGAGCACCTGCTTTCACCATGATGACTCACATATGCTCTAATTTCACAACAGGTTGAGAAAAATGAGAGGAAAATCCAGTGTCTGTAACAATCACACAATATTCTAATGGCTCTGCCATGTTTCATATAGCTGTGAAAAGCGGAAAAATCGTGAATGTTGAATAGTAGTTAGTAGAGTACTGATAAAGATAAAGGACAAACACTTGCAGAATGAGTGATACAGCATAATACAGCAATGCAATGATGATATTACAAAAAAAAGTCTCACTCTAAGGAAAACCAAAATCAACGATTCCCACCCAATGAAGAAATACCTGCTTCACTCGTGGCCATTGCAACACCGAGCTCATTCTCTGCAGTTGTCAAAAGATAAGACTGAGCATCACCAAGAGACAACTGGTGAGTTTGGTTAAGGAAAAAATACACCAGGTCATCAAGGAAACAAAAATTCAAGAACAAAAGATAGGTACATTGATTCATGTCTTCCCACAGTATTATCAATATAACATGCCTAATCCATTTCCTACTTAAAATATATTTTGAAAATATCAAGACAGCCGCATTAAGAATCAATAGCAGACCTGCCACTCTATGAAATCTAAAAATCAGGATCACAGGGGAAAAAATATAGGGATTTGGGGGAAAAAATTGGGATCAACGACAAGGTGATTACAATTACAAAGCTGACAAAAAAATGTTTCTAAGGATTTCTTTAAATACATCCATGTATATACATATGTGCGCCCTGTGTACGTGTGTGTGTATGTGGGTGTGTGTGTGTGTGTGTGTGTCTGGTTAGTCGGGCTGTCATCGTCGGAGAATTCAGAGCGGAAACAAAAATAAAAGTAGATAAAATAATACATCGTAATGTCCCAAGTCGGAAAGCCAAATCGATACTGCCTCAGCTATAGTGTGTGCATGTGTGTGCGTAATTTATCATTATTTTTAAAAATCCTTAAGTATACCCATAAGTCCCGAAAGACGCTTTAACCAGTGTGCATAATCTTAAGTTGACCCCATCAACAGACGGTCGCCGACATGCGGAACTCGCAAGCCGAAGTCAGGTCACGTGATGTGAACACGCAATTGAAACCGTTTTACTGATGGGTCTCGATGACAGCCCGACTAACCAGAGCTCGGACAAAGCTTGTTTTAAAAATAACAGCAGAACTACGAATAATATTGATCATTTGTATGTCTAACTGAAACAATTTTCATGCCATCGTCAGAGAATTCAGAGCGGAAACAAAAATAAAAGTAGATAAAATAATACATCGTAATGTCCCAAGTCGGAAAGCCAAATCGATACTGCCTCAGCTATAGTTCAAATAACATGTGCAAGCAAAGATCCAACACAACTTGGGGCAAGTCAGCTACTAAATCTGGCACTGATATTTCGGAAAATAATGCTCTGAGTCCCTGCTGACAAAAAGTTCATCGGGTGCTTCCCGACACAAAGAAGAAGGCAGAGTAAGTTTACAGAAGAATCAGACGCAACAGATCGAACGAAAAAATCGGCATTTGGGGCAAAAAAATCGGGATATCCCGAGTAAATTGGGTTGAGTGGCAGGTCTGCATTAGGTTCAGTATTTTCTTCTAAAAGTGTCACAGAATTGTTCTGGATGTTAAACCACACTCCATTTTTTACTTCTACAAAATCATTTTCATTTTCAACCCAAAACAGGGATATAAATAAAATCAGTGAGAGTGGAAAGGCATCAAATCAACATTGGTCACTGTCAATAAACCAAACATTATATAATCAACAATCAAGCCAGGTCATATGTTGTGGACTTAAAACACTGGACAAAATGGTCGATTCTATCATCTTTTTTGCATTACCCTGTTGTGTTAACACATAGACGCTGAGGGACCAGAATAACTATGCTTCGGCCTCAAAGGAAAAAAGTATTTCTGTAAATATTTAGAGAACTGTTAAGCATAAAAATCAAAAGTAATTTAATTCAGTGAATCAAGAAAGGATACAACTCTTGCTGTGATAATATCTCCCGGTCTGTAACATTTATGCATCTCCACCCTGTCTTTTTCAGTGGCTCTTACATCTTCCTTTCTGTAATAAAACAAAAGCAACAGCAACAAGATTAAAATTACATTTTCAAAATAAAATGTAAAAGCTAGCTTGACACTGAGGCTATGCCGAGTTCAGTTCACTTTCAAGATGTGCATCCCATATTCTCACTATAAATTCAATTTTGCTTCAGCCCTGATTTTTTAATTCTTTTTGGGTAGTTTTTTTAAAGTCTGGACAATAAGAAAGCCCTGGGTCTAGACTTCATATTGCAAACTATGAAGTAAACATGCACAGCACACTTTTAAAAAAAATTATTATTTTTTCTTTCTTTTCTAGTAAGCGTTTTACAGCCCTCGCAACTGCATAAGGTCATATGAGCGCGCAGGACACATTAAACTTTTTCAGTTGGTAGGAAAGTTTGAATTTTGCGCGGGTGGTGGTCGAAGCCTACTCTTATTGATTTTAGACCACCAAGGGATCTTTAACATTCGCAACTTGCACACGAGCCATCCGAGATTTTTCGCCCTTGTCTGAGAAGGCTAGATGTAGATCTTTCGTACCAGAAGATCAGGGGTGTGGCTGAAAGACAGCAGTAAGAAGGAGCCAAGGAGTAGCAGTAGAAAGGCTGCAGAAAGAGCCAGGAGCCCAGAGGAGGGGGCAAAAGAGGTGAGGGAGTGGGGGCAGAAAAAGGAGACGAAAGCAGACGACAGAACATTGCCAGAGAGCAGCAAAGAAGGTGAAAGGAGAAAATTTTAGAGAAGAGAATTTTTCGGTCGCTACCCGCATTCGAACCCGGGACCTTTGAATGAGAGGCCAACACCTTAACCTCTAGGCCACGAGAGCCCCTAATAATAAAAAAATATTTTTTTAAAGTTCAAACCACTGAAAATATGATACTCAGCTGTCTGCAGACAGCACCAAAATGACAAAGCAGATGAGATCATCTTTGAGTAGAACCTAGATCTCTGTATACAAATGTAGGCTTGACTGAATTTTAATCTCACATTTATTTGTTGGAAAATGGGTCATGATGGTGGAAGTCACAACTGACTATGACATTAGATGCAGACTGCTATTATCAAAACTAAACATCTTGTGACCTAGTTGAAAAAAACAGGGGGGTGGAGGGGGGGACAGCAGATTTGTGTCTCTCTAATGCTAGCACTACCCCTTCCCTAATGTTCAAAACAATATTTGGCAATTTCTGTTACTTCACAAAATTTTTCTTTGAAAATTCTTGTAATAAAACTCAGTAGATGTTTGCTCTCCCATCGGCACAATTTAGACAATTTAGGAGATGGGCTTTTTTAACCCTGTCTGTCTGGGCCAACCTGAGCTGAGAGCGATAAAACGTCCAAGCAGACAGATATACTCATTTTTTAAAACTCCCAACATGGGAATTGAACTCTTCTGCATCATATGGTCACGTGCTGATCCCTACACCAAAGGCACAGGTAACCTCAGTTGAAGTGAACCAAAATAAGGTCCCATTGATTTTGTTTATAAATTAATTGATTCCACTGTCAGCGAAATGATTTGGAAAAATGTAGATTAATGAGTTACATCAGTCTAAGAACAAGCAGCCAACATAACAGTAATGATCACAATTACATGATAAGGATATGATGGGGTTTTGGTCAGATAAATTAATAAATAACAACAATGAGGAGGACAAAAATATCTTCACCTTATCATACCCCTAAACACATCCCGTAAAGGTGAGGTCCCAACACTGAGAATAGCACATTTGCAAAACCTTGGGTTGACATTGGTCACCTGTAAAAAAAAAAAAAATACATTTGAAGAAATTGTCTCTACAAACACATTGACGATGACATCACAGTAGCAAATTCTGTTGCATATCTTCCATTCCCCCACCCTCAAAGTTAGATATATGTGCAGAGTAGAAACATTTATCAAATGGTTATTTTACTTAACACATTATATCTCAGACAGTTTATCCCAACATGTAAAGTATGTTTTTTAAAATTAATTCAGTACTAGAAATTTACCTGATTCCTTGTTCAAACTTAAAGAATGAACATGGGTTTGCATGCTGAGCTTGAACTGGGTACAGCTAATCTTTGCACTGGAATAAAGCACCTCAGGTAAAAGACATACCTGACTAACTTATTTAACAATAAGGTACAGGTAAAAACCACCACTTATTTCATCAAACTGTGCCAAACTTTTAAAACTTTCTTTTAATAAAAACAATTATTTTCCTTCCAGCAAACCTAAATAAAGGAGGAAATGTAACTGGCTATGAAAAACAAAAAACGAAACTTTTCGACCACATGGAAACACTCACGTGGGAACTCAAAACCTAAAGACTATAAATGCCTGATACATCTTGTATCAAGACTATTTTTCCAATGATTGGCCTGAAGTCAGACGGTGGATTTCCGGTTTTATCCAGAAATTTGACATCCCTGATTAAATTAAGTTATGATTCAACAAAAACGTTAAAGAGGGAAGTCAAGTCTGTATGACTCACCCTTGCAGTCACAACAGCATCAATAGTTGGAATAACTGTACAACTGTCCTCTGTCTGTACTGTCAAGGTTACCTGAAAATAATTGCAAAGAAGTCTAATAAAGAAAACAAGTTTACCATTAATGGTTAAAAGTACTCCATTTAGGATACAGAAAAATCACAGACAAACAATCCTCACTACAGCAAAATTTAGGGGCAAAAAAAAACTGAGCTCTCCAATCCATCACGCGATAACATATATTACTTTAAACATTGAAACAACAAAGGGTTTTAAAACACAGATATCAAAATCTGATATGCGAAAAACAAAGCTGCTAGAAATTGCTTTCCATTTACTTTTCAGACTTATCAAAACATCATTGATGAAGAAAAACAAATACCTGTAGTAACAACCTTGAGTCTCTTTCATTCGTCGTCTACATACACTTTTGCATTACTATAACACTCACACAATAAACAACATTTTAAAAAACTTAAATAACTTACAAAAGGAACAAAATATAGTAGATCTTTGCTGACTGACCAATATAAATTTATAATTCATAGAAAGTACAGAATAACCACAATAGCCAACAGTGAAACAACAAAGCATACTGCAAAACACAAACAAGCTCATTTTACACAAATTGCCACACCTTTTGTTCCTCTGTCTTTAGCTCATTGAGCCAGCCAACTAAACTTGAATAGATGAAGCCACCACGGACATATGTTCCTTCCCCTGCCACATGAGTATCATCAGCTCGTGACAATCGTTGTCCTACAAAGAGACAGAAACAAAATACAGTTGAACCTGCCTTAACGGAAACCTGTATAAAAGGGAAACCTGTCTTAATGGAATCTCCCCGCTCCCCCCCTTCATATATTCCTCTTTAATTACCTGTATAAGACAGAAACCTGTCCAACGCGGAAACGGAAAGAAAAATCCGCTCCCTTCTGATGGTTTCACCTGTCTAAGACGGAAAATGCTTCGCCCGCCTGTCCTGATTTGAAAGAACTCGCAAGTTTGGTTCCGTCGGCTCTAAACTTAACACTATGGCCATGCCGCTGGGCAAAGAAGGGGAGTAGGGGTGCAATTTGGGAGTAGATGTGACCCCATCATGTGAGCCCTGAGCGATGCAGATGGTCAGTGTAGTGAGGGTGTGAAATCTCACGACCGCCCGTGAGAGTGCTCGAGTAGCGAGCCACAACGGAAACTTTCCTGGGTAGCCAGAAGCCAGAGGTGTGAAATTAGATTGACCAATGCCCGCCTCCCTGATCGTACGGCCAGCTGAGAAAAGAGTTCCTCGAATCGTTTTTACAATTGATGGCAGTGAGGGGTGGCATTGGTGGGTGGGGCTAAGGGTGGAAGCAAAGGAGATGTTCAAACGTTCCTATTTTCAATAGGTCAAACAGTTGTCCTATGAAAGGCAAGCACGGGTGGTAATTGGATAAGTAAGACTGACGCACGTCATTATCAGACAGGATAGCAATTGAGAGGTGTGAAGTTTTGACCACTGCGTGCCGACCGGACAAGCGATCCTTGATTCCCCCCAACTTCCACCTCACCCCTAAATTCCCCTGTCTAAGACGGAATTTTTCCCCTGCTCCCTTGAGATTCCGTCTTACACAGGTTCGACTGTACCATAAATACCTTCTCATGCAATTTTACAGGAAGGGATCATTTGAGAAGTAAATCAACTGTTAAAATTTTATTCCGTTTGTGTGTAACAACAATAAAAGGGGATCTTGTCCAAAAAAAAAAATGCTCCCAAGAGAATCAAAATTTTATGAGGGAGAGTAAAATTTGGTTTCCACCAAAAAGCAGAATCTTTGGAGAACCGGAAAGACTTATAATAATAATAAATTGCATTTATATAGCGCATTTCCACAAAGAAGTGCTTAATGCGCTGTACAATAATACAAAGAACATATGAAGCGCACAACTCCTACAGTAATCCTCTTTCTCTCTCTCACTAGTCTCACTCTGTCTCTCTCTCTTCTCTCTCTGTCTGTCTCTCTCCTTGAGTAAAGACAATCCCACAAAGCCTACCCAGGCACCCTTGCACACATTGATGAATTCACAAAGTCATAAATTCTTACAGAACAGAACAGCATGGATAAACGATACTGAGAGAACATAATAGAACATAATAATATTTGTATTGGGAATGTCGGAAATTACAGATTGAAGCTGGACTGAAACAAATGCGTTTTAAGTGCTGATTTAAATTTTGATAAAGTGGCGGACTCCCCGTAGATGAGCAGGTAAAACGTTCCACAAGGAGGGGGCGTGGTGTGAAAAAGCTCTCCCTCCGAGTCTCTGACTTTTGCTTTGGACAGGTTTTAAAAGTCTTTTCGTCGCCGATCTTAAAGGCGATATCATGGTATATTATATTCGATGACCATGTCACAAAGATATGATGGTGCAATGTTGTAGACGCACTTAAGAACAATTATTTTGTACTGAATTCGTGCTTTCACCGGGAGCCAAGGTAGTTGAATTAGCATTGGTGTTATATGCTCTTTGACAGATTTCTTTAAAATTATGCGAGCAGCTTAGTTCTGGAGTCGCTGTAATCTATTTAATGTTTCAGTGGGAAAGTTTCCAAACAAAGAATTGCAGTAGTCTAGACGTGAAAGGACAAAAGAAAAGATGAGGGTTTTGATGGAAACAACACTAAGATATGTTGACATTTGTCCTATTCTGCATAGTTCTAGATAAATTACCTTACATAGATGGTTTATATGATGGTGCATAGAGAGTTTGCAGTCAAAACAAACGCCTAGATTTATAGACAGCAAGATGAACTAAACAGCGTAGATCCGTTGTAGGTTCTGCTGCTGTATCAGGGAATGAGTAGAAACTATATTTATGTAGCCATTTACTTTAGTCTAGTCAGGGTCACAAGTTTCATGGACACGCCCGCCCACACACATACACCACCCCCCCTCCCAAAAAAAAGAGGAGGCCGTCTGGGTAATTTTTCACACACTGTTTGTTTGGTAACTGCTCAGTAAGAGTTTTATTGCACTCACAACTAATGAGCACCTGAAACACAATTTGGTTGCATTCATGAGAGCTCACAGTACAGCTTGCTTTTATTCAAAGGTCAGGTTAAAAATGTTTTGATAAAAATTCAATTTTTAACCCCCCCCCCCCCCCCCCTTTCCCCAACAATTTACATTTATTGGAATTACAATATTCACAATTTTGGGTAAAGGCATATGGCCTTTATAAAATCCAGAATTGTGCTGGGGGATCATTGACACAGAACAAATCTTTCCTTCTTCTTCCACTGCTCTAAATCTAGGGCAGAGCAACTGATTTTTACGTATGTGACCGATTTTCCTATTTTGTAAGGCATCTTGCTATCAGGCAGTCACATTCCAAGTTCAGAGAGGTACTCTATATGTTTTTATACTGACTATAGAGTATTTTCAATTTTTAGTTAGTAGGAAGTTTTAATTTTACCCATGCGGTGGTCAAAGCCTACTCTTAGGAACACTAAGGGATCTTTAACATACTTGCACACAGGACCTCCAAGGTTTTTCGCATAAGAGAAATTTAGGTGTTAGATCTTACCTACAGTAAGATGAAGGGTGAGGCTCAAAGAGCAGTAACAAGGAACCAGGAGAACAATAGAAAGAGTCAAGAGTACATGGGAGAGGAGCCCAGAGATCGAAAGAAGAGAAAGAGGAGACGAAAGCAGGTGACGGAACAGGACTAGAGAACCAGAAAGGAGGAGAAAGGAGAACATTTTAGACAAGAAAATTTTTCGTTGCTGTCAGGTTTCAAATCCGGAACATATTGAAAGAGAGGCGAATACTGTAACTCTAGACCACAAGATGTTTTGAATTTGTAACATATAAAATACTTCCTTCAGTCAGGTCTCTCCAAGGTCCGGACATTCTATCAATGTGCATCTAAGCGGTAAAATGTGTGTCACATTGGACATCCGACACAAAAGGGCTTTTTATCTCCCAGCAGAACCCTTTGTAGAAACAAACATCTACTATGGAATCCAGTTTGAGCTAAAAGAGTAATAAACTTTTCTAAGCATACAGTTTTACCATACTTTTTGTTTGTTGAAAATGCCCTCTTTGAGGCCACACCTCTGAAAAAGATCCCATAAGTATAAGATTACCAAGTTAAAACAACGATGCTGGTTTAGTTGACAGCCTGACGCAATCAAGGTGGACTACTGTTAGTCCCACCTGAATGCTCATGCTATATATATATGGTCTATCTGTGCTGTAAGATGGCAGTAAGGACACTGCTGGGGGCATTTTTAGATCAAAATTTATAAATTAATGTGGTGTGTGGGCGAGTGGATAGCTTCATTTTGCAGAGTGGTAAAATTGATTGATAAAAGTAAATCGAAACAGCAAGGGGTAGACAGAACGAAGTCAACCACCAGGCAATGGATGCATTTAGATCATTTTTAATGCAGCCAATGACAATATCCGCCAGAGAAAATTCAGAGGGAAAATGTAAACTACAATCCCCAAAACATTAACTGTCCTTTACAGGAACAAATTTTTTAACGCAGCCAGCAGAGGGAAATGTAAACTGATCCTTGTCACAAGTCCCAAGCCTGGATTATAAATCAGTAGACGGTAAACTAGATCTAGACACCGATCCAAGAGCAGACTGTCAAGTAATCCCGAAAAATCGTGTAGGCCATCAACTGAACCAAACCAGTACCAATAAACACAGCTGGCCAAGTTGGAAGCATTTGTGGGAGGAAGGTGTGGGCACAGCAGTGAAAGAATGTTGAAACGAAGTGACTATTTCTCTGAACGCTCTGGAAAATAAACTTGATCTCTATTTTTCCAAACGGTTTCCGTTCTCGAGATTTTTTGGTTATTTGCGAGATTTAGGCGTTATCTTTCATTCTGCGAGGACTGGGAAGAAGCATATTTTGCATCGAATTCAATTTCTAGAGCTAGATCTAGAGATTTTTAAATGTCTGAATATTCAGATACTTCAGTTGTGGTTGGGGCAATTTTCCCGGACTATTATACTTCATTTGAAAATGTCTTCAAACCGCGAGAGGCCACCCCTAAAGCAAACACAAAAATCCTTAATGTAAACAAAAATACCCCCCCCTCCTCGTTCACACCTTATACGTACACACATACACTCACTCACACACGCGTGCGCGCGGGGGCCACTCCATTCGCAAATTATCAACAAATCTCGAGAACGGAAACCATTTGGAGAAATAGAGTTCAAATTTATTTTCCCGAGCGTTTGGAGAACCATATTGAAAAGCAGCACTGTAGGGTAACTACACATGCGATTAAACGTAGAACGACGCAAACCATTTTTAGGTAAGGTGGCCATCTTGTTTGACGTCCGACCGGGATACCCCTCCGATCACGTTACACCACAATATACCGCAGGGCACCAAAGATAGAAGTGTCTATGTTATATCAAGCTTAATCTACCATTCGCTGTTGGAAGTTCTGATGGCCGAATGGACAGCGCGTGTCTGTGTTTGAAGTCAAACAATTTTTTTATGAGCGTGGGATCGAATCCCGGTCCTGGAAGGGTTTTTTTTCTCCTCTTCTCCTCCTCCCGACTGACCAACAGTTTTTCCCACAAATTATAATTTGTTGCTTTGTAGTTTTTTAGGCATGTAGTGATGAAGCATGCAGGAAGGGGGAGGGGGTAATCCTCTAGCATCTTTACGGAAGTTTACGTGCGGTTTATTGTCTTTGCGTATACCGTGTTTCAATTTCAAGCATCAGAGTTCTTTTTAACTGTTCTAAGCATCAACAATCTCAGTGATCTTCCATCATGTCCAAGTACAAAAAAAAAGGACTAGATCTAGATCTAGATCTAGGAACTCCGAAACGTGCTTACATGCGGTACCTCCACAGCTTTCTTAAAATTTAAAATTATAGTCTGTGGGTATCCCAGGAAGTGATGACATCACATAACTAAAATTAGCAGCCAATCAGGAAGATGCGTCGCTCTACGTTTAATCCCATGTGTCACCCTCTCTCACTCCTCTGTCTCTGTATCGCTTGCATTCTCTTTTTCTTTGTTTGTCTCTGTCTTTCTTTCTCCCCACCTATTTCCCACTCTATCTTTCTCTCGTTCTCAGACCTGCCACTCTATGAAATCTAAAAATCAGGATTTAAGAGTTTTAAAAATCAGGATCTGGTGAAAAAAATCGGGATCAATGGCAAATCAGTCATAAGGGGTACTGGGGAAGGGGGGTCCTGGTTCCCTTTTATGAGGAAAGTATGCAAGAAGTTCACGTTTGGGCCACTAAATAGAGGGAAAACTGAAAGACAGCATTACTCGAGTCGGAGTGGCATAGACTGAGGTAGCGCACGTTGCAGTAAAGCTGAAACTCTCGTAGTCTTGAAAAGAGCTGACACATAACTCTAATCATCCATGCAAAAAGCCCACGTTTTCATACAGGAACAACGTTTGACTCACATCACATATCCACTCAAGGCGCACCAACCACCCCCCCCCCCAAAAAAAAAGATCGCGCCAAGGTTGTTCATTTATTTCTCTTTTCTTATTCCTTTATCTTCAATTAGTAGATTCTACATGATGTATCACGGTAAAGCAATACCCCCACCCGCTCCCCCCGGTCGTCCACACTGGTTAAGTCCCAAAAAACACCCCGACCAAGGCGTCCGGTGTGAATGAACTTTGCTGACCCCGACAGCCGACGGTCCCCGACACACGCGCTACTCACATGTACGAGGTCATGTCACGTGTTGCGAATGAGCGTTTGAAAGTTCCACTGACAGGTCTTGATGATGGGCCCGACTTTTATCCAGAACTCAAGACGAAGCTTGCTTTTAAACCAACGGCAGAACAATGAATAGATTATTCTTAGGCCCATAACATAATTGTTACAGTAATCAGGACACAGTCGGAGGATTCTGGGTTATAAAAGCGAAAGAACATCTTGAGCGTGTCCATGTCGGAATTCAAAATCGATACTATGTCGGTTTTAGTTGAAATAACGTGCGAGAGTCATCTACTAGATTCGGCATAGATGCTTCAGAAAGTAGCGTTCCAAGTTCCTGCCGATAAAAAATCTAATTGGTGCTTCCAAGCAAAAGAGCTTGCACAACTTTTTATATTTTTTTCTAATAATCGGACGCAACTGATGCAACGACAAAAAATCAGGATACTGGTGATCGAAATCAGGAAAATCGGGATGCTTGAGATTTGGCGCAAAAAATCGAGATATCCCGATTAAATCGGGATGAGTGGCAGGTCTGCGTTCCCTCCTGCCAACAGGGTAAGATTGTACTTTACCGGTCGGAACTACTTTCGCTGTGGCGCCCCTGGTGCCTAGTGTCCTGCTATTCTTCGTTTCCGAGCTCCCCTACTCACTCTCCTACTCAGTTTTCTACGTCCTCACTCTGCAACTGCCAGCAATCGACTAACGTCTCTTACCGGGTTTTTCAGTCATCACGACCATGCCACTGTGCCCTTTGACCCTCGACCCTGACACCTTGAGGCTAATTGGTCAATCTAATCACGTGGTCCACTATTCTAAATTTGCTCACGACTCTGCTGGCTTGGCCTAGGCCTACTCCTGGTCCGGCAAAGTACAATGGAGGGCTAGAGATGCGCACGAGAGCTGATTTGCATAATTGCAACCCCCTCAGCCCTGCTTGCAACTTGGCGAGTATCTCTACCCTGATTGTCCGCTCATGCCATTGTTTATATGTGTGTTTGAGTGTCTTTAAATTATTGTTGCCAGTCTGAAACCCCCCCCCCCCCCCCCCCACTGTTGTTACATTGATATGTAAACACGACTGTCCGCTTATGTTATTGTTTCGCATTTTTGTGTGTTTTCTTTATTATAGTTTCCAGGGGGGCAAGCCCCCCTGAACCCCACTGTTGGTATGATACACAGTGGTCCACCAAAGTTAAATATCCCCTGCCCACTCTCTACCACCACCTCTCGCTCACCTCGCCTCGCCGCTGACTTGTGCTGTGCGTGCGTGAAGTCGCCCGCGGAACTACCTTTTGTCCGCACACAGAGTACCATGAGTGCGTAGTTAGGCTAGACTAGGTGTGCATAGTAATCACGGGCCGAGACGGATGGTCCGGTAAAGTACAATCCAGCCACAAACTGGGGTATGTCAAACATTTTGCTAGCATAGCACTTCCCCCTGCTCTCTCTCTCTCTCTCACACACACACACACATACCCCCACACTACCGGGTCTGGGCGCTGAAACTTTCCGAAATCAAGAAAGAGTTCCTCTACCGGGTCTGTATACTTCATGACTTACACTTACATCTATTCTAAATCTAGAAAGTCTAGATCTAGATCTAGATTCTAGTCTAGATCTATATCTAGATCTAGATTCTAGATCTATAATCTAGATTCTAGATATAGATCTATAATCTAGATCTAATCTAGATCTAGATCTAGATCTAGATCTACATCTACATCTAGAATACACAGAAGTCAGAGTAGAGTAGAGTGTAGAATTCTGTGGTTCCCGGTTACCGGGTCTGAATACACTTCGTTCTAGATAATCTAGATATCTAGTTCACTAAAAGAAAACATGGGCTTTAGCTAACCACCATACAGACATCTGTAGGCTAAACTATCATTAAATTATCAGTATTTTTAAGAAGAACATTTAAATTAATAGCCAACACACCAGGAACACAAACTATGGACGCCGCCATCTTGGAAAAGGGAGATCAGTCTCAGATCAGTCTGCACGCAGTGCGAATCACTTCATTGTCTACTACTTCTACTACTACACTACGCATACACGATCTTTGAGAAAACCCCAGATTCGTCTCGAACACTCTGGTTGGTTCTAAAATTAGAACTGACCTGGCGAATAGTTATTTTAAGATTCCACGCAAGCGCAGTGCTCTTTCAAGACGTAGTTTGTAAACATTATCGCATGTCATTGTCATCGATGTTATAATAACTGTATTTTTGTCGTCGAACTTGCTCGAATTTTCCCGCGAGTACGCGTCTAGCATGTTCTATCTATTATCTCAGTGAGTATATAAGGAGCCCGCAAACTGTAGAACCTCAATTTCTCAAAGAGAACAAACTCGACGAAGATAGAGAACCGAAAAGATTAATAACAGCGAGTATACAACTGTCAGACGAAAGCGCCTCAGGGAAACTTATTAAATTTACAGCGAATAACAGCTTGTGCACTGGTTTTACAAGTGCAAGAACATAGTTTCCAGAAGTAATTTGGTAAGTCTCCTTAATCAATAATATTTTCCATACGGTACACTTTCACTTGTTTTTCAAAAGACTTTATCATCCGGTTTTGATGCAAATTATATTGTATATTTTTGCTGGACCCATCTCAACATTATGATAGGCCTATAATAAATACAAAGTATAAATAATGCACCTATTTAATAAAGTCTACGTTTGCATAATATCAATATTATTAAACAATTTTTAACTGAATTCAAATTCACTGTTCACACCCAATTTGAACGATAATATATCGTTTGCATTCAATGAAAAAATCTTATTTATTTTTATAAATTTATTTATTTATT